AGAGCCTGGGGTTTCTATCACTTTCCGATGAGCAAACAAACGATGGCCCCCAGGGCGAAGTCGGCCAGCGGGTACAAACATCGATCTACACATCGGGCAGGATCCAAGATCGGCACGATGAGGGTCAACCAGTATCCGTTGGATCAGATCCCGTCGCTGGAGACGACGGCGCGCAGGGAATTCAGCCTCTGGCAAACACAGGGCAAGCGGGAACAGCGACCAGATCGGTGAGGGCACGCCGATCGAGGATCAATTTGATCCCCTCAGACCGCGCCCGGCGCCGTTGGAGACGATGGCTTACCGAAAGAGATTGCCCCCCATCCGATGTCCCATCCCTCTCCTGTTCATCCCGAGGCTGCAACGGTTAGTCGCCTCCCTTCTCCTGATAACATGCCAATTGCGCCTGCCCCACTATCTTTCAGTGAAGCAGCGGTTAGCTGTGCCCCCTGCCCCCCCCCGCCGCCTCGACTGATGTCGTCCTGGAAGCGACGATTGGTCGCCCCACCGATGGGGGCTGTGCGCAGTTAGGTCAGCAACCCCTTCAGCAACTCCGCGCCGACACTGCGTGCGACCGCCCCGCGGAGGACCGCGCGCCCCCCGACGCCTCTTCGACCCCCCCCCCCGAAGGACAGCCAGCCCACGAAGAACCTGCAAGGCAGACGCCCGACAACCAGCCCTCTCCTCGAACTCCGGTTGGCTGCCCCTTCTCCTACTCCCTCTCCGACTCGGACTCCCAATGAAGTTCGGCACTTCACACAGGACGACAACGACAACAATGCGCGACAGCCCGGTGCACCTGGCGCGGGCGCCCGCGCTGACACCCAGCCATCGCCTTCTTGCACCCCCCCCCCCCGCCACTTTTGACCCGAACGCTGCCCTCCTCGGGGCGCAGCAAGCCCTCAAGTCTCTTCAAAGCCTTCCACTCCCAGCCCCCACTGAACAGGAGGTCGCCGCTGACGTGCCAGTTGATCGGGAGCGCGACTCGGATTTGGAAATGGGAGACGATGGAGCACCAACCCCGCAGCCACCATACCATTTTCTACCCCCCAGGCACGTCGCCCCACCTCTGCCCCCCACGCAGTCATAATGCTGATGGAAGCAGCCATGCCGGGCCCTCGCGCCCTGCCTCCGACCCAGGCAGAAGCCGCGATAGCTCCTCTCCCTCGCCTGTTCCTCCCCCCCCCTCTTCCACCGCGCCGACCCGCCCCGCTGTCGCGCCAGATTTGAAGCAACCCACGACTGCCAACGTAACCTTCCACCAGTACGCCAGCCACTGCAATGCTGGCACAACCGCCCGAGAGTTGGCCCCCGAAGCGCAGCCCCGCGTGGGCTCGATCGCCCGGATCTCTCCCGAGCGAGCAAACGAGGTCCCTGCATCGAAGATTTGATGCAAGTCACGCCCTTCCCACGAGGGGGCTGGCCCTGGCGCGCTGGCCAAACGCCTTGGTCTTTCGAGGCCACGATGCGACTGCAACCGCTGGCGCACTTAGCCTGGAAGAGCCACCCAGCGGGACGCCCCATCCTGACATCAGCTGACACATTAGCTGAATGTCGTCAACGCGAGCGTCTCACTGCCTGCGACGCCGAGTGCGACCACTGCTCCAACATCCTCATGATCATGGGCCTCACTCATGTCGCCTAGACTCTAGACGGGGAATATTCTGATGGAAGACTGGGGGGCGTCAGGCCGCGCCTGCCACAGTTACTCGCCATGCGTCTTGCCACTGCGCGCCACATCAGCAACAGCGATCAATGCACGCGCCTTGACAGCGACGAAATCACGGACCTTGAGAAATGCGTCGCTCGCGCAGAATGCCCCAAAATGTTCCGCGTATCCAAATGCTGCGGCATCGGCGGCAGTGCTGCTGTTGATCAAGACCGATGGGGGCGATCGAGTTGGCCACTCCACTCGCGCGACCGCCCCCGGCCCCCCGCGTAAACCGCACCCCCAACAGCGCAGCGAAGAGGCACCGCTGCCCGGCAAAGTGCTGCAGCCACTGATGCATGAAAGGAGACAGGCAATCGCCCACTCCCCTCCGCGCAGCGAGCTCCGCGCCAGGGCTTGCCATCGCCGCCCCCGCGGCGGCCCCGCCAGCGGACTGTTATCCAGCGCCTTCGACCGCGCCATCGCAGCCGACGCTCAGAGAGCCATCCAGCTACCGAAATGGCTTGTCGACGATCGCGCAGTTCCAGCACCGGGCGTCACCCCGCCGCTACAGGACTACGACTACAAGCAGATCTGGCCTTGGGACGACAACGCAACCTTTCCGCAGCTCGGCAGACGCTTCACACCATGCGAACGACGTCTTCTCCGTGGTCCTTGGTGCCTAAGGGCGCCGGGCCCCTGTCGTGGGATCACGCCCGCTGCGTGGGAGATTCTCGCCCCCCTGGCTGGCAGACGAACTCGACGGCGAGAGCCCGCCTTTCCTACCAATTGATTCACTTACCAACGAAATCCTCCTTCCTCTCGCCCGCGCAGCTCAACGGTTGGCCCCCTTCTCCTGCCACCTCTACCAGGGCCTGCGCAACGCCGCAGACTACTCCCCAACATGTTAGTCTGTGGATTACTGGGGACATGGGCGGACCTCGCCAGCGGCGCGTGATCAGCGCGTGCTAACCGCGCTTCGACTGAGAGCCACCTCCGCTTTGCCGCTGACAAATCCGCGTTTCTCTGCGCAGCAAGCGCTGAGTGGGCCACCAACGTCTGCGGCGAGATGCACGACCAAATCTCGCAAGGCAAGCTGCCCGGACAGCTCGCCGGCTGGCCCCCCACAGCACTCGCGTCGCCTCACGTGCAGGCCACGCTCGCCCCAACTATAGGCGGGAGTGCAGGAGCGCGCAGCCAGCCTGCTCAACGAAGCTCCTTTGCCTACCGTCACTTGACCCAACTTGGACTGCAAACAGCGGAGATCGCATGGCCTCAACAACACATCGGGATGTTCGTCGCGGACCAGGTTGAGTCCGACGATCAGCTTCATGTCCAACTAGTGCGCGACGATCGCGGCATGACCACCACCGAGCGGGCATTGGCCACTCAGGCACTGATTGTATGCGCGCCACTCTAGCGTTCGGTGAGCATCAAAACCTTGCGCTCCTACTCGAAGACGACGAACCGATCGGGATATGCATTGAGCGCACCATCGTTCGGCACTGGGGGAGCATGACCGCACCAACTGCACAGGGTAACTCACACGCGTCGACACCGTCATGGGAATCGCAGAGGCAGCTCAAATCGAAGCTCCGCCCATGCAGGCAATCACCGTCATGCTCGTGGGGCGTGAGGAAAGGAGGCGTCTCCAGGATTGCGAATCCGAGATGCAGGAGGTGCGCGAGTACATTGCTTCATTCACCCTCCCCAGCGTGTACAAGTTTGCTATTATTCTTGTCAACTTCATCTGGGGTGCTGCGACTGGAGCTGGACGGGCGCGCGCTTACTCGATGTGTTTGGGCGCCACCAACTCGACGCCAGAGCAATCAACGCAGCGGAAGCCTGCTGGAGAGAGGCGTCGGTCGACACCATCGAGCTTGCTTGCGCCAAGATGGGGGTGGGGGGGCGCCGAGCCGGAACTGGGCGGCCCGCCCCCGCGCCGCGGCCATGCGGGTACATTGAGCGCACGTTGCAAAAGTTGATGGTGCAAAAGCTTGACGCTCACGGAATCAGCTGTACTCAGTCTTCAACGGAGACTCAGACAGAAGCCCCGAGGCCATTCAAGCTGCGTCCAGGATGGCAAGACTGAGCAACGTACAACCGTGGGAGGAGCAGATGTCAACGGGACAAGAAGGGGCAACACAGGAGGACATTGGCAGGGTGCACCAGTGGCGAGACCCGGACCTAGCCGTCAAAGTCTCAGTTCTACTAGAGCGCCTGCACATTGCCGAACGACTTGACGAACGCGGTGGATGGCGACAGGCACGGCCGCCGCTGGACACCAGGTCAATCGACACAAGGCGACTCGACTTCGGGAATCGCTGCGGGACGCCACTACTAAAGCTGACTGCGTTGACAGGTGGCTTTCTTGGGCAATGTGGCTATGCCTTAGACCGCGAATTTGAAGACACTTCCTCTGCCCCCTGGTAATGGCACGAAGGATCCACATTGCCCAATTTGCTGTCATATCTAAATGGCTCATCCTGTGTGACATCCACGCGACGCTGCAACTACAGCGACTCCTCGAGTTTTTCATTGGGGCGCGGGCCGAGGAATGCCAGGCTTGCGACCTCTTCACCTCGACTAGCTTAGCTCCCTTCTTCCACCGCGTGAGCTGCGCGGCTGCCGCAAGCGGCGAATCCGCCGCCAGAGACGCCTTCGTGCTCCGGGAGGTATGCGCGGAATGCGTGCTACGGGAGACCGAGCCAGCGTGCCCCGCGCGCGGTCTTACGTCTCCGCAGAATGAAACTGGAGACACACCGGAGTGCGCTATCTGCTGGTCAGCCCTCGACGCCACCACGACTGCGATCATTCCATGTTGTCGCCAATTCCACGCTGCCTGCCTGTCCGCATGGAGACTGCAACAACCAGACGTCTTCAGCCTCGCTGGCCCCGGGAGGGAACAAATCAGTATTTTGAGGTGCCCGCGCTGCAGAGCACCCGGCCTCGGGAACGTCGCCGCTCAAGCACTGGGGCCTCAAGGTACGCCACAGGGAACTGCGCAGCGTAATGGCGGCGCCCCTGAGATCCCCGTTCCCCAGGGGCGAGCCACCGCCGAAGAACTTGCGCAGGTCATCAACGACTTCGGACCAGGGTGCCAGCAGATATTTCGACCAGGTCAGCGGAACGGTGCCAACTCGTTACAGTCAGCTTCCCACAACATCCCGGACGAAGACGCCCGAGCCATCGGCGAAAGGATACACATCAACCGCAACACAGACGCACAATGCAGGATGACACAATACCAACCGTCGATGCGGAACAGACTGCGAGAAGCACCCATTGTCGCGCTGCAGCGATGGGCGGCGGTAGTCGCCAGACTCCCGCCTGACTTTCACCGCGCTCAAGGGAGGCCGATGTTCCGAGCTGGACTTGTTAGGGAAGCTGTGAGGGAGTCCCTGGCAGACATGCCAGTCGCTCTGGAGTCCTTGCTTGGCGACGTAGACGCCGACGCAGCTGCCGCCACTTTTGCCCTCGCGTCCGCGCAGACCACGCACCGACCCAACGGGCCAAACATCATCCTTGCGTGCCTACGCGCCGCGCAAACTGACGCCATCTCTGAGACCGTGGCCGCCGACCGCAAGCAAGTGCACCGGTTTTGGCCCTCACGATAGAAGGCCCCAACTCACCGGGAGGCCCCGATACTGCTGAACTGCTAACCATTGCCAACGCCCACTGGGGCAGCCCGATCTGCCGCTCGTCTATCGCTCATGGCCCCAGTTGGACGGCCCCTAGCCACTGGAAGGATGACCCCCCCCCCATATTTTCAGCTACTGGCCAGCCAAGCTGAATTTGGAGGGACTTTACTGAGAACTGTCACCCCTCCCGGGCCAGTGGCGCACTGGGGACGGCATAACCACGACAGATCGAACGCTCTTCATGTCGTCGTTCCCGGGGGGCAGAAATCAGGAGGTTTGCGCACGCATCTCCCTCTGGGTCTATCACATTACCAACGAAGATAGCAATTCGCAGCAAACCGCCTGGGCCACCTCCAGAATTTCGCTCCCGAAGGACGCCGCGCTGCAAAGGCAAGGATTGGAGGAGCTGTACCGTCATGTTGTACGATGCTACACCAATCGACCTGACGGGGACGAGCGAAACGCCGAGGCCCAGTTAGCCTGACTCCACGCAGGGATCGACTGGGTGGCCAGTGAGTACAGCTGGAAAGGCGCCACCACAGGGAGACAGCACGAAACCGGCGATATTGTGCACGTCCCCATGAATCCGCCTTCCACCCCCCTTGCGCGCCCAGTCGTCTGTCAAGCATCACGAGCAGTACACTACAGAGCGAGCGTATGCACAATTGGGCTACTACTCATCAGAACGCCGGAAAGGATCGCTGCCGCGCAGCTTGGCAGACTCTTGCAGGAGGCCCCGCAGACATTGCCAGGCAGATCTTACCTGAATGCGACTCCACCGCGGAGGCTTATCTTGACCGGGAAATGGGACGGCGGCCCTACGCTGAGCAGACTCACAGATCCTGAGTCTGGCTTCCATCTCAGATGGAACATCGCAGACGCTGGACAGCTAACGCATGAACGAATCGTCGACGCCATCGAACACACAACGGGACAAGACAACGTCGAGCAGGTACAGTGCGTCTACGCGTGCCATCCTGACCTCAAGTGTTATTAGCAGATGTCGCAGGTGCTCGTCCGCGCTGCTGCCTGCGACACCATGGCTGGCGCCTTTGGTCGGAATGCCTATCTCAGGTCCGAGAGCTCTGAATATCGCATCTTTCCTGCCACGGCAGCCAGGGGCGGAGCGCGCAGGGCGCCCCAGATGCCGCGAAACATACGAGAACACCTGGACAGAGCAAGGAACCAGGAGACCAGCCAAACGCATTGTGCGGCTATCCACCCACAGGTTCTCGCCATTCAATCCATCGATCAATACGGAGCCCAAATCGGTCAGGAGCAGCACCGGTCCATAGGTAGCGACCTCGCACAGCACAGTAGCGAACGCAACGACAACAGTCGCAGCCCGCGCGGTCAAGGTAGCCGCGCGTGCGCCACCTCCGTTGGCCAAGGCAACATACGGCTTTTGACGCGGCTGTGGCCACCCACCTTCTACCCCGAACCCACTGCGCCATGCGGCCCCCCCCAGATCACCGAAGACTGGCTGTCTGAGAACAGTGGACGCTTCCGGTCCCTTCTAGGGGACGGTCGCAGTGAACCGTCGCCTCCTCGCGGGAGACACGACAGCGAGTCTGCGCGACGAGTGGAGCTCAGCCACTGCCCAGGGGAACTCGCATTTCTCGTCGTCGCAGCCGGCGGCAGCCTCATTGTCACCGCAGCAGGTGAGCGCGCCGTGCTGCGCTACACCTTGCCCTCTTGGACCACCGTGGCCGTCCCTGCGGCAATAGGAAGCCACTCGGCCAGCAACTCCAGTTTTCGCCCCCTCATTACCATTGAGGCCGGCCTGGCCATCGGCCCTGTCTTCGTCCCTGCGTCCACCGAGACCCCGCCCAGCGCGCCCGCTCCTGTCCAGCTTGGGCCCGGCCTCCCACCGACCCCCCAGCGCGTCCAGAGTGACAATCAACGCATCGACACCCAGCTTTCCCTCGCTCGCTCGCCGCGCGTCCAGTTATCTATCCCTCGCTCGCTGCCCTGCCCCCGGACACCCGGCGACGATGCACCCCCCTCCTATACTTGTCTCCGCCCAGGAAGACGCCGTCGCAGCGGCTAGAGCCCTTCTCAACCAATATGAGATTACGCTCCACGACCAACGAGTACATGACGTCACACGAGCAATTGTTGGGATCCTCGAGGTAGAGGAAAGGAGGGCCGCCGCAGGAAACCGGACGCAGAGATATTGTTGGGACGGTTTCACCATGCTCTGGCTCATTCAGCTGACAGGCCCCATGCGGCTCAGGAGGGACCATGTATACCAACTGCTTCAGGGCCGCAAAATCCCTGGCAACTTCTATAGGCAATCGCCGTCCCAGCAATGGCTTGCACCAGTTGGCGAGGTTGACCCGCAGTGCGCGTTTGACCTCTTTCTTAACTTCCCTTGAGCGCGGGGAGACCTTGCGCCGGTCACGCCCCGCCAGGTCGCGGCCAACGCAGAAGAGGCCTCTGCGGTCCTCGACGACAGAATCAGAAGCGCTGGAGCTGCCGACCGACGACGCCCCGACCCAGGACGCGCACCCAGACGCAGGACTCAGGCAAGTGGCCCCTGCCAAGTCCCTGCCTCCACGACTCAACCCGCACCGCCGACTCAGTCAATCCCCGTCCCTGACGCGCAGCCCCGACCTTCGCAACGGCAACTTGTCACTCCCGCGCCGCGGACTCAGTCAATGCCTACCCCCGCCACGCAGCCCCGACCTTCCCAGCAGCAACCTGTCACTCCCGCCGCTACCTCCAGCGACGGCGCCCCGACGTCTCCAGGAGACCATGCCATGGCGGACGTCCTCCTCCCCGGCGTCTCCTCCGCCACCCCTCCCATTCCCGCTGAGCCCCATCCGCTGCAAGGCGACCCACCCCCCTCCTCGCTTAACAATGGCATGCGAACCACCCCGCAACCCCAGGCTGCCTCTCCCGCCCACTCTCCAACAGTCGAGGCCTCCCCTAACGGGAATAACGCTGCCACCTCTGACCAGGTCACTCCCCGGCGCCCAGCTCCCTTGCCGTGAGCTCGTCAGCACGCGCGACACAGGCTACTGATCGAAGAAACAAGCTGTTGTCACTCCCTGGCGCAGGCGAGATTGATTACGAGAGAAACCCACTCGGCAGGGCCGGCGGAATTCCAGAAGGATTGAACCTCCATTGCGCCATCAACACCAAGTGGAACGCACTTCTCAATAACACGAAGCGTTATCTTGGCCATGTTACAGAGGAGGTTAAGACCCCACGGTTCAAGGACAGGGTTGAGAGCATTAGCTCCTCAAGGGGCTGGCAGACTGTCATGTCACCCCTCATCTGGGGAACCACGGTCGGCCAACTCCGCGCACCAACCAAGAGGCTTTTTTTCGAGCAGTTTCGGCGGAGTGAGGAAAGTTATACTTTGCTTGTCAGCTATTGGAACGAAGCTCGCCTACCTGGACGGGGCGCGGGGGGCGACTCGCATTATCATAGCGCCAGGCCGAATTTGGTGATCGACCGTCCCAGCGGCATGCTTCGGAACAACCCTTGCGACCCCGCCGCGCCAGACGAGCCCTGCTCACTACTACATGGGCGACCATGCGGGGGATTGTCAGCCAAACTGCTCTCAACGCTGGGGCACCGCGCAACGCCCTTCTACGTGCAGCAACAAGAACATCCCAACCGACAGGTTGCCGCAACCAGCCCCAACCCCCTCCGTAAACGACGGTGCTGCGACGTTCATACCGAACATTATCAACCCCGCCAATCGCGATGCAACCCAACCAGAGACGCCGGTCACTGTAGCGGGCCCACAACCTAAAAGAGGCGCGCAGCCGCCAGGCCGTCGTCAGCCGCCCGCTAGACGGGCGGCAAATCAGATTCCATCACCCGCGCCAAAAGCACCAGCGCGGACAACCCGGGCCCCAAGGTGGCTCGGGCTAGATCAGCTGCCACACCGACTGAGGCGGATGGGCGCGGGGCGACGTCTTGCCTCAGGTGTGGTACAAACGGTGCTTTCTCCGATGGCCAAAGGAGCTGCGCGACCAGCCAGCAGAGCGGCGCCAGCAAATGCGCGTTCGGAGCGACAACGGCCCGCCAACGAGGTCGTCGAATAACTCAGCTCTCCCCCGAATCCAAGCGATCTGCTCCAGTGCGCCTGGTCGAGACACGCCGGCCCAACCGCTGGAATAGCACCGGCGACATCCGAGGGCCCGATGCTTGTCGCATGCTCCCAGGCAGGCTTGAATTCACAGATGGTCGTAGATGCCATTCATGACCTCGCCAGACAAGGGGTCATTGTAGCACGCGACATCAGGGTGCACGACGGCCGAGTGACTGGCCAGGTAGCGCCAGCAGCGCAAGCTTCCACGAGCGACTTCCAACGACGACCTGACCCTACCATTCTCCACAATGGCAAGAACACAGGCGACCTCAGCGCTTCATTAACCAATCAAGGAGGGCGACAGGAACGCCCGCTGCATTTGGTCTCTTTGTTTGACGGGTGGGGGACAGCCAGGTACGCAGTGGGGGACCTACTACATCGAATGGGACGCGCTGATCTCTTCCGCACCTCCAACCTCGTAGAGCACGACACCTGCATGGCACAAAGGGCCACGCAGCTCTGAGAATGCCCTGAGACACGGGCACGGGACGGCGGACCGCCGCACCGAATCCTCGCCTCGGACGTGTGGGACCTCTTCAGGAGGACGCCCGGTGCTGCGATGACGGTGTGGGAACATGTCGTCTCCTCCCTTGAGCCCGACGCCCTCCTCCTGATCGTTGGGGGCAGCCCATGCAACAATCTGTCATGCGCAGGGTCTCGAGGCGGCCAGGACGGCCTCGTCGGGGACAAGTCGGTCCACTTTTTCGCAATTCCCCTGGCGTGGTCCCTCGCCACATGCTACCGCAACGACGTCACAATACATGTGGTCGTTGAAAACGCGGGCTCCATGCGCAAACCTCACCGGGAAGGCATGCAGAGAGCCATGGGGGAGGTCCCAGAT